CGGGGCCTGAGCAAACCCTAAAGCTCCAAGAAGAAGACAGTGACAGTGAGGAGAGAGGGTGACGTTTGTGTCACCTTAAGTGAAAGAAACACTTTGGAAAGAGACAGAAATATCTAAAAAGAACTTGGAATTAGGAAGCTTTTTATATACCCACATTTTGCCGTGTATAATGTGCATCTGTTGCCCAAATTTCTGAGGGAAAAATGACAATGTACATTACACATGGTAGTACAAATTCCTTATCTATATAAATATATTTAATTCCTTTATTTATGCTTATGTGTTCAAAGTGTAACTCTAGAAAGCAATAACCATATCTGTATGCAAAATAATACCCTTTATAATACAAGACACAAGTATCTAAATATAAATAAATAACTGAATTAAAAAATTTAAATGGAAGATTTTTTTTTCCTGAAAGTTTGGGCCAAAACATGCGTGTGCATTATACATGGCAAAGTGCAGTAATATACCATTGAAAAGCCTGCCATTGACTCATTAAGGAACTTTACTGTGAAGTACTACATGTTCTTTAACGGTTTTGAAGATTTTTAAAGGTTTTATTGGTTATGGCAAAGTGCTCTGTTTTGGTTTGAGTTTTTTGTTTATTTGTTCATTTTTGGTATGGACAAGCAGAGGCAGGAGCCAAAGCAGCCAAAATATTATATCTAGTTTGTCCATGTAAGAAGCAAAATGATTAAGATCCTTAATAAAGAGGTTTCATAAACCAGTAAGAAAAAGCAAATACTATTTTTAAAACAGGCAAAGAATTTGAATAGATAATATAATTTAAATAAAAAATGGTTATAAAGATTAAAAAATGAGCCCAGACATGTAAAATTAAAACAAAATAGTTTTCAAGAAGCCATCCCGTTTTCTTTTCTGAAAATTGCTCCAAAACAAGGAGGATAAGAAATACAAACTCCACGTTCAGGAAAACCAGGCAACGCGCAGAATCCCTAAGCATGATGCATGGAGTCAGAGAGTGAATGGGGGACTGACAGAGAGGACGAGGGTCAAAGTCAAGAGGGCAGATACAGAGACAAGCGATTCCACCACCATACAGCCGATAGGACCTAGGCTTTTTTCAGGTATGAGCAATGCTATGCTGGTAAATGATGAACGATTCTCCAGGAAAAACTGCACGTATGTGTGTTATGTATATATACGTACATGTATGAGATGTTATTGTTATGAACAATATATAGTTTATAGTATAGTATAACACATAATAGACAAATAATAAAGTAGACAATACCTTTTATTGAAAATCCCATATAGCCAATTACTGATGTTTACATCTGTAGTCAACCTATGGTTGTAGTTAATGAAGGAGTGTAGCTCCAGCCTGAATGTTGATTTCACTTACGTTAACAAGCCAAGTGTGAAACAGCAAAGATACGTGTCAGAACTTCACTCATTTGCCAGTGATTGAGAGACTACTTTGCTAAGTTGTAGAATAGTTTTCAAATACTGAGAAAATATTTCCTCAGTGTTTCATACTATTCACAATGTAGTATCTACAGAAACAACACACTTTTAAGGTTAATCTGCATTATCAGCATTTTCTCTGTGGCTCCCTTAAATCTAATAACCAATAAAACAATAAATCACGCCCACGTTTGTGGTTCTTGTTGGTTTTTGTGACAAGAATATCCCCATTGTGCCCAAGGTCAGCATACTGTAGTAAGTCCCTGTAACAGCATCACTGAATGCTGGGAAGAGATGCCGTAGTACATTATTAAATAACTTTCCACAATTCAGAGCATTTCGCATGACAATTTTATACATATTTTGCTTGACTTCATTTACTTACGATTTATCTCCCAAGACCATAAGAGCAAAAATCTTGGTCTTTTATTTCTCTGTTATGTCCCAAGTGCCTAGAACAGTGCTTGACACATGCTAGACATTGAATGAATACTTGCTAAATAAAAAATAAAATGTTGAACTTACTATATGCCAGGTACGATCCCAAGTGCTTTACTTATGTTAAGTCCTCACCGCAACCCTATGGGGTGGCATTATTATTATCTGTGTTACAGCTGAACCCAGAAAGTTACTTAACCAGGTCACTGAACAGGCAAATGGTGAAGCCGGGATTCAGACCCGGGCTCTAGCTCCAGAGCGTGCGCACTTTATCACAGCGCGTTCTCTCAGTATGTCACAGCATGACACGGGCAAAGCGAAATCTCAGGATCACAGCTGTGTAGCAGACCTTAAAAACAACCAGGGCCAATTAGAGCAAATGGAAAGAGGCAATATATTGTAAGTGATCAATTATCTGACAGGTTTGCAAATGGCAAACTTATTCTAGGAAAAGAGTAAGTAGAATGAGAAAAGAAACGTTACCATTATTGTATACTACCTGATTCGGCAAAGAACAATATTTACCTAATCATGATAATGAAAACAATAAATATAATTCTTTTAAAAAGTCGTGCTCTTGCTATATGAGAAAGGAAAAGGGAAGAGAGCAAAAATCCACATCTACTAAACAGAAAAAAAATGATATTTTTAAAATCATGAATCAAGCAGTATATGAAAAATGCAAAGCAGTATATGTAAATGCAAAAGAAACATCTAAAATGTTGGAAGTGTTGTTGTTATATGTTACTGGTCACTGACTTGCCAATTCCTAAGCATGTATTTGTTTGATAAAAGTGAAATTAAAACAAGAAGGTAGAATATTTTCCATAATAGTGTCCAAGATTCAAAACAATAATGCCAATGTTGGCAAAATGAATGAAAATGGGCTCTCCCATGTACTAACAGATGAAGCTCTCAGTTGATATGTCTCTGGGAGATAATTTGATATTTTGTAAAAAAATAAAATGAAATAAATTTTTTTTAAAACTCTTAAAAATGTTATTTGATCTAGCATTTCTTCTTAATGGAATTTATCCTAAGAAAAAAACTTTAAAGATATGTACAAAGACTAAGCCATTTTCTATTACAACAAAAAAAGAATTATATAAATATTTAGTATTAGAGTCCTGGTTTTTTAAAATCATGAAGAACAATAGTTTAATAACTTAAAATTATATTTATATTAATCTGAAAAGATATTTATGAATACTAAGGAAAATAAAAAGCTGATAGCAAAATAACAAAATGCTCTCACTTTGCTCCCATCTCATAAAAGTATATATTTGGACTAAAATGTTTTAAAATACATGTAACTCAGTAGTTACTGCCAGGTGATGGAATTATAGATAATTCATATTTATTTAGTTTTGCTTGTCCCATTTATAATTTCTGCAATATACATGATTTACTTATGAGATTTTTAATAGGTTTTAATGTTTAAAAGTTACACCTCAGACAAAAATGTATTTCTCATTAAAGATTCAAGGAGATCATCAAAAACAAGAAGAACTGTGTTGCCTATGAAAACAGACAAAATAATGGGTCTGGTGTAAAATAATGGATCAGATGAAAAATAATCTACATTTGTAAAACATAAAGAATGTGACATTAAAATTGACATAGGCAAAAATCCATAATATTAAAACTAAGGTTTATAAAATGTAAGACAATTTCCTTTTGTTTGTTTCCTTTTTATTATGAAATTTTTCATTCATATACTCTATACATAGATTTAAGAATTTTTAAGAGAACATTAAACTCAAAGAACTTAATCTTCAAGAAATGGAATATTTATCAACTAATTATCAGGGGAATACAAATCAAAAGCCTAGTGAACTATCACCTCCCACTTATTAGATTGGATATTATAGAAAAAGACATGAAATGAAAAATGGCAGAAAGTGGAGAAAAGGGAACATTTGTGCACTGTTGGTGGGAATGTAAATTGGTTCATCCACTATGGAAAACAGTATGGAGTTTCCTCAGGAAAATAAAAATAAAACTACCATATGACCTAGCAATCCCACTTCTGGTATATATCCAAAGGAAACAAAGTTATTAGCTCAAAGAGATAGCTGTACTCCGATGTTCATAACATTATTCACAACAGCCAAGGTATAAAAACAAGCTAGGTGTCCATCAACGGATGAATGGATAAAGAAAATACAGCAAATATATGTGGTAGAATGTTATTCAGCCTTAAAAAATGGAGTCCTGGCTGGTGTGATTCAGTGGATTGAGTGCCAGCCTGCAAACCAAAGGGTCACCAGTTCAGTTCCCAGGCAGGGTACATGCCTGGGTTGAGGGCCAGGTCCCCAGCTGAGGTGGCGCAAGAGGCAACCACATATTAATGTTTCTCTTCCTCACTTTCTCCCTCTCTTCCCCTTTTTCTAAAAGTAAATAAATAAATAAAATCTTTTTACAAAATGGAAATCCTGTTATGTGTGACAACATGGATGAACGTTGGAGGGCATTATACTAAGTAAAATCAGCCAGTGGAAGACCAATGCTGCAAGGTATCACTTATATGTGTAATCTTCAAAAAAAAAATAAAAAAGAAAAAAGAAGGAAAAGAAGTTGAAGGCATAGAAACAAAGTAGAAAAGTGGATGCCGGGGTGAGGGGTAGGGAAAATAGGAAGAGGTAGGTAAAAGGGAGCCAACTTTCCATTACAAGATATATAAAGTCTGAGGATCTAATGTTTAACATGGTGTCTATAGTTAATAACACTGTATTGTATAATTGAAATTTGCTAGGAGAATAGACTGTAAATACTCTTCCCCTATCACCCAAAAAAGTAAACATGTGAGGTGATGGATGTATTAACTCCATGGAAGGAATCCTTAAACAATATATAGGTATATGAAATTATCATCTTGTACACTGAAATATCTTACTATTTTATTTGTCAATTATACCTCAGTAAGGCTGAAAAAATCTAAGAAGTGGAACATTAAAAACGCCATGTCTCATGATACTTAGAATATTAGACTCTCCAAAGCATTAATTCAACTTGGCATACATTTCTTACATTTTTATGTTTAAAATTCTCATCTCTGCATAATGGAGTAACCAGTTCTTATATTCTGAAGACTTGTCTTAATTCATGGTATTGTTTGTTTTGTTTTTCAGGTCCCAACAAAGGCCAAACACCTTACTCAACAACCTCCGTGCCACCACCTCCACCGTCCCATCCATCCACCCAACCGCAACTGCCAGCCTCTCACCCGACACAACCGCCAGTCCCGAGTCTACCTCCCAGAAACATTAAGCCTCCTTTAGATCTAAGGTAAGCAAAAGTTATCTTGTGATTTCTTTGTCAGTCTCTTGCCATAGATTTTCACACTGGGCTTGGCTGAGTGCCAAGGGTTCTGTGGTAAACGGCTGGGGCTGCAAAAGTGGACAGCTAGCAGGGAGAAAGGATGTCTAAGTAGGCCGCTCTCATACCTCCAGAGCCTTTAGCAACTCTTGTTTACCTGCTTTTGCAGTAGTTTTCCCCTTCAGCATTTACTGGAAGAAAATTTCCACTGCCCAGTGCTGGGCAGCACCACCAGCATAACCTCAGCCGCCGTGGCTGCCATCATCGCTGAGGCCCCACCACCGCCACCGGCAGCATCACCACCACCATATTCACGGACGGCCATGACGTGCACTTGGCGCATATAATCCCAATAATCCTATCAAATGTGCAATGTTTCGTCATTTCACAGATGAAATGGAACTCTACAGAAGCTAAGTAACTTCTCCAAGATCATGCAAGAATAGAGTAGATATTTGAGCCAATGTCAGTCTGAGTCCAAAGTAAAGCAGCTGTTTTCTCACCCTTCAGATTCTGGGCTGTTTTAAAAACCTAGGAAACTTTTATTCAAGCTTACATTTTCTTAGATGGTACTTTTTTAGAAATGTCAAAACTATATGGGTTGCTCTGCAGGAGCTCTTTATCCATGATTTACCAGGACCGTAAGTTGAGGGAAAAGCAAGTGGAAGATTGGAATAGAATGCAATGTTGTTTTAAAAAGAAATATCCAATCAGTGGCAAGCGTGCTCTGCCCATTATGACCAGGGGACTAGGTTTTCTTCTTTCTTCCAGGAGATCGCTGTCTGTGTCCTTTACCACGAATAAGTAATATCCCCAAATATTGAACTATAGTTTGTTTTCCCTTCACTTTAATCCCCTACCAGATGGATGTTCTTTACATTTCAAGTCTTAATATCTGTAATCTATATAACAGAATCTGTTAATAAGAATATCTGATTGACAGTTTTCTCACTTTTTGAAGAGTGCCATTTAGAGCAGGGGTTGCAAACATGTTAGTCATGGGTTACCTCCAATGTGTTTCATTTTACTGTGCTTTGGGGAGGAGGTTAAGGCACTAACCAGAAGTGTGAGAGCAGCTTAGTGGCTAGTATCTTCTATATGGCCTGCAGTGTGTGTTCATGTTAACTGCATACCCTTCCAAACATTTGAGTTTACAAATTTTAATTTAAAGTCTCTAATACCCCCATGATATCCAGCTACCAAATAAGAGGTTAAGCCATCTGCCTACTAACATATAAATGCTAAATAAATATTAGTTTAATAGAACTAATTACTCTGTGTTCTTAGATACACTTGATTTCTCTGTGAATTATTTTCCTTTCACATGTATTAATGTTGTTTCTTTTTCCTAATTTCTTTCCTATTTTGATAAATTTAACCTACTAGATTTTAAACTTAGCATTTTGAATTTCATTGTGTGACCCCATCCCAGCTACGGGCTTCAGTCAGCCTTCTGGATTCTGTGTAATGCTAGAGAGAAATTGTAATAAATGCCTTGAGCATGAATTCCTGAATGTTTACAAGACATGGAGATTGGTACTTAATAATTTTATCAAAGAAATTGGGAAGAGAAGGAGTATTTGGCACCTTCTAGTATTTGGCAATACAAATAGTATTCCTGCTATTTGAGGATCCCCAAGGCCACACATGTTTTATGATTTACTAATAGGACTTTCAGGACTCGCCATACAGTAGTACCGATGGCTAAGGCTTATCATGGTAACTCTCCTTCTGAGTCTGGGAACAGACACACAGAGGGTGTTGCTTCCCCAGCTATGGAAATGCAATGCATGTGTGATGCCGCTTCCTCAGAAAGCCGATTAGACACAGGTTTTTACTGAGAGCTAGTCACATAGGCATCTGCTACCTAGCAACTCCCAAACTACCAGACTTCCAGAAAAAAAGCAGATGTTCATCATAAGTCACATAGTGTGCACTCTCTAGGCACAGCAAACCACTCTTAGCAATTAGGCAACTTTTCATATCAGTGTACCAGCCGAGGAACAACCTTTGTAGAAGTTTCTTCTATATAACAGTTCTGGGCCTGCTTTATTAAGTCTTTTCTGTGAACCTACTCCCTGGAATCCACTGCGACAAGGTGTGGAGTAAAAAGTTGCAGAAAGAAGAAAGGATTTCAAAAATCGTCCTTTAGCCTGTACAAACAACTACTTCGTAAGGATGCTGGCCAGTTTCCCAGCTGTGCAGGGAATTCTTGCAAAGTTGAAAAGGGCCTGCAGAGCAGGTAGGCTCAAAGTCTTACTTGATGAAAACATAGCAAAAACCACCAATTGGAATAAACTTTACCTTACCCCCATTTCCATCTTATTAAGGACTTCTAATTAGAAAATCTGATTCATCTAAGAGTTGTCAGCTCCACAAAATACATACTCTCAGAAGAAAGATGGGGAGAAACAAAAGTCTTAGGTGTTATATCACCTAGATCAACTGTAACCAGAGTATCTCAAAGTTAATTGTCAGATGGAGAGAATAGAGAAAATGAAAGCTAAAGCACATCTATGAGATAATATTTTTTCAAAGTAAAAATGTGGTATATAATGAAAACTTCTGGGTTCTCATCAGAGAGCTCAAGTAAATTCCAAGATGAAGAAATATATCTGGGTTACAAACTTTCCCCCAAGTAGAGGAAGCAAGATAAGACACAAAGAGGAAATGAAAGTAAAATGGGTCTTTATAGTATGGCTCAAATTTTTATACTTAATGCAAAAGGAAAATGTATGGCTCAATCTGTAAGTAAAATTGTGAGAAATAGGTGTTTCTGTGCTTTTTGTCACAGCACCACCCTTAAAAGCACACACCCGGGTGTTTCCCAGGTGCCCCCTCCACTGCGCTGCAAATACTATTCCTCTCCTCTCCAATCAGTGGCCACTCTCAGGTCAGAATCAAATAGATTATTTTACATCCGCTCAACAATAATTTTTTAAGCGACTATTTTGTGCCTTTGTAGTAAGAGTTACATTAAGAAGGAAGTCGTGCATAAAGGAAAGATCCCTGCCCATATAAATCAGGGACAAGAGAGCAAAGGAATTAAAATAATAAACAGGTAAAAAATACAGTATGTTAAGAAACATTGAGTGCTATGGGAGAAAAGATCACGGGGTTGGGTGGTGAAGTGTGAGGGTGACCTTAGGGGACAGCGTATTCAACTTTACACAGACATGAGCATGTCTCCCTCAGTAGCAAGGCATGCCTGAGCGGGCTCAACGAAGTGAGGGGGTCAGGCGTGCAGATGTTTGGAGGAGAATAGGTCCAGACAGAAAAAACAGACAGAACAAAGACCTAGAATTTTCAAAGACTAGGAAGGAGCTGAAGTGGACCAAGGGAAAGGGTAGCAGGAAAAGACTTAGCTCATGCAGGCCTTTATGAGTCATGATAGAGATTGTGGCTCTTATCCTAAGTGAAAGGGAACCACATAAAGAAGCTGGGCAGTGATGTTTTATGACTTTTGTTTTAAAAAATTACCTTAACAACCATTTGAAAAGAGACAGTAGGCCAATGCTGAAGCAGGGAAAGCGGGCAGATATTGCAGAAACACAGCCAACATATAGAGAGGGCTGTACCGAGGGTGGAATCATCAGAGGGGCCCAGATTCTGGATATATTTGGAAGCAGAGTGTGGATTCAGGGTATGAAAGAAAAAAGAGGATCGAAGATGACTCCCAGGTTTTGGTCTGAACAACACCAAGAATGATGTCCCCATCAACTGAAAAGGGAGAGGCTGCAAGGAAGCAAGTCTGGGTGGGGAAGGTCAGCAGGGTGTGGCTATGTGAAGCTTAAGGTGTCTCTGAAACATCCCAGTGGAGATGTGGGGGAGGCAGTCGGGTATAAGAAGTGACAAGTTTTGGAGAGAGTCTGGTTTAAGAATATGCATCTGAGAGCCATGGGCACATACTCCAGACTTAGTCATGAGACTGCTGAGATTCGCCAAAGAAGTGAGTGTGACTAGAGAAGAAACAAGCCCCGGTGCCCTTGAACTCTCCCGGGCCTGGGAGAAGAAAAATAGGGGAGGGAGAAGAAAAAGGAACCACCAATAAAACATGAAAAAACTAAGATGCCAAGACAGTGTTCTGAAGGAGGAGCAGTGATTGGCTGTGTCCGAGGCTATGAAGACCAATGGGCGAGCACTATGGAGGTCAGAGTGGATGGAAGTCCCGGAGTAGTGGGGACGCAACCTGACTGGAGGGAAGGGATTTAAAACAGCAAGAACGGAAAGGAAGGGGTACATAGCGTGATAAAGGAGAGGAGGGAAGCAAAGAGATGGGGCGGTCACCGGTGAGGAAACAGAATCAAGATTTTTGTTTTAAAATGGAAGAAATAGGAGTATGTTTGTAAGCTAATGAGAAAGACCCAATAAAGAGGGGGAAATGACAATGGCAAAGGAAGGAAAGAATTCCTGGAACCAGGAACCAGAGCACCTGGGGCCAGTGCTCAGATGAGGGTCTGGCTTTCCAAAGGAATAAAGAGCTCATAAGGTTTCCTCTTCTCTCTGGGGTGAAGTCTGCATCTCTTAAGGCAAGAGAACAGATCTCACAGATCTCACATTGGACTCCAGGAAGGAATTTCAGAGAACAGGGTGGTCTTTATTGCCTGCCTACTCCCAAGAAGTCACTTGTAATTATATCATTCAGGTCAGGATGCCAAGGGAATGGAAAAGATTGGAGGCAGGTGAAAATGAGAACAAGTAGCTTTAAAAATAAGGTGGTGGAAGCCAAAGTTATATTGTACTTTAAATTGTATTGTTTCCCCACCTAGTGGTCAGAAATCAGCTAGTTACAGTTTCTACTATTTTACTCAGGCATCTGAGGAAGAACTGAAATGGATCAAAAGAGCATATTTATCATTATTAGTGTTCAAATCAACATCTTCAGTGTAACACACTTTTCTGTGCTATTTTTAAAAATTAATAGAAATTTTAACAGTATGACTAATTGTTCACATGAAAACAGAATCAAT